TTCCACAATTATTTAAGAACTAAGATTTATAATTTCCTCCTATTCCCCTTTTAATGAAATAATATGCGAAAACGACATTCCACTATCACTTTAAGTTCTTTGATTTGGCGAACTTAATCATATACATGCATACCTGCGATTCCATTATGAACTCCATTCATCTCATTAACATTATTTTCACTTTCGTTAATCCCATGAACTCCCAATCCATTGCTTCCATCCGTTTGACTCATGAACGTGTCATTTAATGCTCTCAGCATTCGAGTAACTTCGTATGGATCAGTAACGCCTGTGGCTTGTTGAATAGCTGGATCCCTAAAATAAATACCTATAAGTTTATCCCAAAAATTGTTGTCACACAATATAATCGTAATACTTACGAAACCCTTAGGTAGGGGTTATATTCTAATTCTTCTTCAATAGTGCTAGGAACGGTACAATGTGTAGTTTGAGACCATGACAATTTTTTCTATTTAGACGTACAAATAAGAACGTAATTGTTCAACAAATATAATTATTATAAATTAAACTACTTCATAATTACTAACAAACTTACTCTTATATTATTATTGTTAGGATCTACCGTATTCGCGAACTAAAATTCATAAAACTATTTAAATACATAAATCTCACATAATTGTATGATAACGCTATTAGTCGTTAATATGTATTCCACAATAATGTGTCACCTGAAGATTTAGTCTAGCACATTCATGGCCACAGTAAACTTTTGTATCTTTTGGAAGCTTTCCTAATATGTTATAAAGAACGTTGTACATGTCTTTGGCGTCTCCTTCAACGATTCTTCCACATCCACCTACAAATTATATAGCATATCAATGTTAAGAATAAATAAGGGCTGTATGCAAAATATAAAGTATTTGAAATCTTAAGAAATAAATAATGATATGTATGGAAACTATGTGAATAAATAAATAACAAAAGCATTTCGAAATTTTAATAAATAATGATTGTACTTCTTACCAACTAACAAAGTGTCTCCAGTAAACACAGCCCTTTCCATTTCTTCATTTTCCTCAGTACCGTCTCTTACATAATAGCACACACTGCCTCTCGTATGTGATGGGGTATGATACGATCGAACTTTTAAAGTACCAACCTATTTTAAACCGACAGAATTAGCGATATTTCACATAATTAAAGAAAATTTTAATTATTGATAGTATAACATACGGTGAATTCCTCATTATGCTTGCAAACATAATTCAATTCTGTAAAATGGTGAGCAAGACGAGCCAAGACCAATTAAAATTTGAATGATAACTAAATGATTTAAGATTAAAAAACGATTACCAGGAATTCGTGCATCAGCCCCATAAACAGCAAGATTGGGTTTAGTCATTACTAAATCGATATTGCCATATGAATGATTTCTACAGATAAAAAAAAAAAAAAATTAACGTAAAGAGATTTTTCTAAACTTCAAAATTAAGAAAAATAACTACTTATGGTGGTGAGTCGTCAAGATCGAAGTTAACTTCGCACCAGTCTGAGAAAGGACAGCTAAAATCTTTTGCGGTTCTGCAGGGTCAACCGCAGCGGCTGATATTTCATTAAAAGGGGAATAGGAGGAAATTATAAATCTTAGTTCTTAAATAATTGTGGAAATAGATGCTGAACCATTTTATATGATAATAAGCTGGGTTATAAAAGTAAAAATTCTTGGCAGGCCAAACATTAACTATAAGTTTAGACCATTTCTGCAATATACTCGCTGCCAAACCCGAACAAATACAAAATCTTAAAAATTTTTTTTCTATTTTTAACCGCCGTGGGCGTAACCCTAAAATGTTAATTGTCTTTTTATAAAGATACTCTTGAAATGATGAATATATTATTTATGAGTATATTTGATTTATAAAATTTTTGACTAGACTCTTTTGGTTTGTTTATTTAGAGCAAAATGTCTGACAGCTCAAAAATTTTATATTTAAATCAAATATATTCTGACAGTTGTGGATAATATATTTAAAATTTTCGATTATTTTTTTGATTTAATTTTTTATAAATAGCAATTATTTAGGGGTTTAAGATTCGTCCGGACTTTGCTAGCAAGTATTATTTCAGTATCAGCTTGCTTTAGCAACAATCCACAATAATTTAATGAAAATGTCGCAAACCTTCGTTAGCTTTATCATCGACGATAAGATATGAGTAATTGTGTTCAAAAATTGGTATAGGAATGATACGCATGGCTGAACTAATTAAAAAAAAAAACGGAATGTCAATAAAATATTACCAATTTCGCAGCCGAAAAATAAGGTTGGAATCCATTGATTGTAAAGAAAAGCAGATTCTTGAATAATCTGGAGTATGAAACGAAGTGTTTGATCTAATATCCTCCTTTTTGATCAGGATCGATTGTGTCTAACGAAGAAGTTTGCAACACAAAAATTGAAAGATACCAACACGGAGTCGAAAAAAGGATCAGTAAAACTTACGGAAATTTTTACTTGAATAATATCAATTCAATGTAAATTGGCAGTGTTAGAGGGAAATAAAGAGTAAGTCATAAAGTTTCTCTATGTACAAGGTTAAGTACAGAAAATTCGATGTTCGTTAAGATAAATTTTGTTTTAAAAAGTCTTGGCATTTTCTTTTGAGAATTCATTTTCTTGGCATTTTTCATATAAGGAAATCATTGAGAAACTCCGTATTTGTTGTGTGCAACGAAGATCTCATAAGTTCCAAACTGTCATAAACAAGTTACGTATACAAATAAGTGCTGTGTAATACGGCGTAATTGTTAAACTCATAAACTAATGTAGCATATCGATATTCAAATTTCTGGAAAAGGACGCAACAAAGTAAAATAAACCATCATTTCTATGCATGCATATTATGAAAGCAGTAAGAGGCTGAATGGTCCACCTCCTAAGCACGTACGTACTGTACTTGCGTGATTCCATATTTATTAGAAATTCTCCAAAATCGCTTCTACTATCGCCATAAATACTCTTTTGATGTATTTTCGTTTCACCACTATTTATTACTCAAGAATAGTTTCTAGAAAACTGTCTCTATTACAATTTTTTTCGTGCACAGTTATTTAAATCTTATTAAAGCGCCACAATGTGGTACTAATTATTAAAAATTTAATTTTTGATATCGCTCATCGTTTTTTGCATAACAAACAATAAAAATATTTACAAGTGTAGAAAGAGTTGTCAACAGCAAACTTCGTACGTACGTACGTACGTACGTAATTAAATTATGCTAATAAATGTATACTAATTTTATTTTGTATAATATATAATTTGATATTACTAATCGGCAATATATATAAAAAAAAAATGGTAAAACTATTTGAGACTGGGTAAATTATATCTCATTAAATAAAATGTGAAATGGCATTTGTTTATAAATTCCATATAATTGGAGTTAACCATAGATTTCTTGCGATATAAGTAGTGATGGGACCTCCCGCATTATTATTAATAATTAATAATAATAATTATTAACTAAAAGCTCGAGTTATTAACTAAAAACTAGATATATACTTAATAATGTATGGCGCAGCTATTTAGTATTACGTAGTACCGCGCAAGCGTATGAAAAATATGCGTACATTTTTTTTAAACTAGCGCTTGGATACGTCCTTATACCATGTATTAAATGGTATTTTATTAAAATAAGGATATTAAAATTACAGTTGCGGGAGACAAGTGCATTTTTTTTGTTTGCGAAGCGACGAAATTTTTATGAATACGCATATTTATATTTCAACTTTTAAATTTTATTAGAATTTAATTGCCGGGTTAGTAAACGACAACTATAGCACACTCATTATAGGAATTTAAGTCGCAAAAAAAATTTTTACGAACCTTGTTCAATTTTCAAAACTTACTGACCCACCTTAAATTCCTTCAAAATGTTGTTCGAAGTGAATTTTTTGCAAATATAGTGTTTGTAAGAGAACATTTTGTATAAACCTTATTATTTTTTTTTTACCAAGTATAAAAGCACACACTTAGAGTATAACCCGATGAGTTAGAACTTTATTTATTATTATTAATAACAACATTTAAAGAAAAATAATATTTAAAGTAACTCTAAATTTATACATATGATTGATTAATATAAAAATTTACTGATTTTTCAACAACCTTAAAATCAAAGATATCTATAAGTGTTGGAATAATTTCCTTGCTATTTACATCAAGTACATGAAATTTAATTTAAATTTACTATAAATTCATCTATATTATCACTATTATCAATATAGTCATCATCATTTTTATTTGATTTTTTTTATTTTGTTTTGAGTTTTGACATATATACTAAGAAGCTTGTGTTATTTTTGCAGCATGTACTGGTGATAATTTGTTTTTGTTTTTGTTTTTTTTTTTTTAAGGTGAGGTTTTGCCTTTATCTTTATTTATTTGTATTGGATAACCACTAGGGGTATCACAGGTCGGAGCCAATTTACAAATTTTTACAAGAATGAAACTCAGACTATAGACTATTAAATCTAATTTATTTGCAATCTAAACCTACTAGAGTGGTTAAAACTCACCTAGATTAAATAATTTAAGATATGATTGGTAGGTGTACTAAATTTAATCCATTCAGTTATCCAGCTATCTATTTTTTTAATGACTTTACTAAGTATAGGACAAATTTCATAGTTATTGCCTGTATGTTGTTGGTTAGGAAAGCCACATGTACAATTATATGTATATGTTGTTTTGGAACATTGGGGGTTAAGGTTAAAAGGATTGTTTGGTGCTTGTTGATTTTGTAAAAACTGTTTGGGTATATTGTTTTGTTGTTTCTATTTTGCTAATTTTGTATAGTAAGGTTTCCAGTGGTATTTTGTATAAGTTGCAGTAAAAATTTGATTGTGATATTGGTAGCTGTTTTATTACTATCTGTAAATTCTCAGATAGTTTGGATTAGTTGTATTGGAATATATCCTTTTATTGTGGTAAATAGGTTAATGTCATTTGATTGTCATTAGAGTAATAGGCAGTGGATATTGCTAAGTTTGTTGTGTAGATCATAGAGTTGTGTAGTTGTAATATCTAGTTTTGAAGAGTGAAAGAATTCTTGTATAGTATTTTGATAGTGAACTTTAAATCTGATAAGCCTGCACAT